TGCAGTTATATCTGATCAAATGCACATTATTAGTCTTTAGTTTGGGTTAAACAAATACATTTTGCTTGGTTGGAACAGCAGCTACGCTAATTATGTCTCTATTTGTTTCTTTGTTTTTGCCACGGGATGTCACTAGGATTTGCACAAGCTTCAGTCTGGATCCAGAACACATGAGAAGAGATGATGCAACCCCTCAGAGGACCTCAGATGATACCAACCCTGAAACAACATACAGAACTACCACATTTTGCTATAAGTTTTATTGCATCATATAATAATTGCTGTTAATAGTGTTCATCGGCTGTTTTTTTACGTCTTTAATTGATTTTTCCGTACATTTCTGCCATATGTACATTGTGTGGACAGCGAATCCGTATATTTTCTGAAACGATGACGACATCAGCCCATGTCTCGCCCCTAGTCAGTCACAAACTACCACTAAATATTGTAGAAACTTAATTTGCTGTAAAGTTGCTTTGCAATGATTTGTATCATGAAAAGCGCTGTACAAATAAACTTGAATTGAATTGAATTGAATTATAGGCGTGTTGTAAACTCGCATATGCTCGTGCTGTTTTACCGCGTGCAGAACTGACACTGAGGGCCCATGATATTACACCCACCCACCTGTGCTTACGTTTGTTTCTACCTGTTGCTGCTCTGGTGTATATTACTGTGACCGAGATGCTGACAGTCAACACGACCTGTTAATATTTCAGCACTTTCGTCGGTGTCTCCACTCCCAAATCCGTTCCGTGTGTTTCTTGGCCTCGGTTTCACACCTATTTTCTGCTGCGGTTTAATTAGGCGACTGATGTAGGATTGAGTTGCGGTGACACGGCAGCCGTGATGGAACAGAGACGAAATCCAGGAATCACCACACAGAGAGGCTATATTACATGGCACAGTATGTTATGTTAGGTATCTTATGGAATCGAAAGAAATGAAGTCTCTCCCGACAGTGGTCATGCTCGTGTTAAATTAACAACCCGGCTCAACGACATCGGGATTTTCCTCAGTAAAAATGCACCAGGGAGGGAGTTTGATGTTGCTCATACTCAGCATCATTTTAGGTAAGCGTTCTTTCTTTCACAGTTTTTTTAATCTTTCCTTATCTGCACTTGTACAATTTAGAATGCCTGTCAGCTCGGACTTCTTCAGTTGAACTTATGTTTTATAAATTGTCAGAGTGAAGATAATATATTAAAACCAACATTTGATTTTCTTACATTACAGTTGACATGTTATCCATATTAAAATTATATATAAAAAAAGTGTAGTTTCAGCATGCCCTTAAAGGGGTCATATGATGCGATTTCAATTCTTCCTTTCTCTTTGGAGTGTTACAAGCTCTTGGTGCATAAAGAAGATCTGTAAAGTTGCAAAGACTAAAGTCTCAAATCTAAAGAGATATTCTTTATAAAAGTTAAGAGTCAACCACGCCTACCTAAAACGGCTTGTTCTAACATGCCCCCACATATCTACATCACGATGTGGGAAGATTTGCATAATGCCGCCCAAATGTTCACGCAAAGAAAGAAGGCGTAACTTTTATTCTCGCTGTAGTATTGTTGCCGCCATGTCGTGAAGGTGCTGTGTATTTCGTTGTGAAAGCGAAACTACTTTGTTTGGCCTTCCAAAAGAGGACGATATCTGCTTCGTCATGCCTGGAGCTGATCCTTGCTGGTCGCTGAGGAAATACATCAACTTCGCGCTGTGGATCGCCGGATCGGCTTTCACCGTGGACGAAGCGGAGTCCAGCCCGGGGTCGTCACATGTGGTTGCCGCAAGCCCGCCGGACACTCCTTCATCGAATCTGCCGGGCGCGCCGTTCTCAAGCCCGCCCGCCTCCGCTTACTCAAGCTCGCCTGCCGCCGCTCACTCAAGCTGGCCTCCGCTCACTCTAGGCCACCGCCCTCCACTCAATTAATTCACCGCCCTTAACTCAATTCAGATGTGTCCAGCGCATTTTATGGAGGACTTCCTGATCCTGGTAGAGTAGACTACAATGCCGGCTGTTCTGACTCACAGACTGTAAGTAAATTTTTTATATTTAAAGAATTTGCCACTGACGATTCAAACGCGAGTTTTGAGCAGTGTAGAGTAGCACTTGTTGTTTGTCATATCTCCGATCAAAAATGCAGACATGATTTTATGTTTACGCGGTGCGATGCAACGCAATGCGTAAAAAGACAGTATAAGTCATTATAATCCGTAATTATGTCCCCACTGGATGCAACAAATGCCTCGTTTATAATGGATTTTAATGTTTTTGTCTCGTCGCTCCTGCTGGACAGGGCATCACAATATGGTAAGGGGCGTAACATTTCTATCAAACGCTTGAGGTATTCGGCCAAACACAATGCACTGGAGGTTGGCCAATCAGAGCACACCTCGCTTTTCAGACCGATGAGCTTTGTAAATATCGAAGAGGCAGGGCATAGAGGAGAAACAATAATGTACAGTATGTGGAAAATAATGTGTTTTTTGAACCTTAAACCGCATAAACACATTTCATTACATCAAATACACAAAATAATGTTCTTTTTAGCAACATGATATGACCCCTTTAATTTATGAATACCTAGTGTCCGTTTGTTTCACCAGCGATATTAATGCATTAACACGCAGGCAGTAAGACCATTTTTTTACCTCTTCTTCAAAGGGATTGCATGTGGTGACTCCACAAAACCCTCGTCACCCAAGACCATCATCAGACAGAGTGAAAAGAGCTCCAGGAGTGAGGATGAATTTGAGAGGAACATCAAAGTGTTGATTGAGAACATCAGATCCTTGTCAAAAGAAGAACAGAGAGAAGAGGCCTCACCAAATCTCCATCAGAGAATGAGCAGAATGTCAGCACCCCTTGAGAGAATGGCAATTGACAGCACTAGCCTAGATACTTACTTGACAATATTCAACAGTTTATTCTCTATATACCAGCCCGCGCTGATTGACAGTTTCATTGAAACTCTTCCTCAGGCTTTAATTTGCATTTTGGCGGACAGACAGCCCTGTGGATGGCAAGCAGATTTAACCAGTACCGTTTCATCTGCATTGAATGAACAAGTACTTTCTGTGATCTCCTCTGTTAAAGCTGAAGCTTGCATGTCAACATCTAATATGCGAATGGCAGACCCCACCATGGCTCAATTAAACTCTCTTCAGGAGATGTTGACAAATGTTTTGTCCTCAGACTTCCCACTTTATCTGCTATCGGACAACGTTTTAGCCTTATGGAATAGTTTTATGGACATGGCATTTCCACCTGTGATGTCATTCATGTCTGATATCATGTTGAGTGCACTTCAAACTCCAATGGATTTTCTAAAACTTGGATTACAGTTTGGCATTGAGATCCCTACCCTAGACCAGAGTGAGATGTGTCAACAAGGTGTGTCATAGCTTTAGGTTATGTTTGTTTCTTCAATATTTATTTATTTATGAAGTTACGTTTTTTTGTTGCGTATATTAGAATACATTTTTCAGTGTAATAAGTGATTCTCCATCAATGTCTCCTTCTGTCTTTTGTGCACAGGTGACCTCAAGCAGCTTATCATGTGGTATGTCACTGGAAGCCCATATTCCTGTTACAAATATGGAGAAGAATTATATATTATATTATGATGATGCATCAATATTCTTTATATAAAGTAAAAAGCAAAAAAAAAATCATCTCACTGTTTTCTGATGATAAAAGTATTAATTTCCATTTGTATTTTACTATAAGATGACACTATTCATTCTATCGCTTGTTTTCTGTATTTAGGGGCATGAATCATAATGTGAGCTGGTCTTTTGGACAGTCACTTCTGGATATGTTTTTGGCTCCTGAAACTCCTTGCAGTTTCCCAAGTCCAGAATGTCAGGCCACAAACAGCATCCAGTTCGGTCGTACTGGCACATCCTTAGTGGACATTCCCCCGTCTATTCTCACCTGCGAACAACAAAACCTGAACCAACTCAATGAAACCCTTTGTGCAGCAATTTTAGGAGCAACATCTAAGGAATCGTATGTCCTTTATCAGATGTGTCAAGCACTCAGCACACTCTCTCAAACCGAAGTGACAAAAGTATGGAGGAACATGTGTCACATGGTCAAGAATGGCATCTTACCTCTTATTGAGCCCTGCAGTGATCCTGGCACCGCACAATCAAGTCGTAGTGCACGGTCCACTCTCAGCCTCAGCGAACTCCTCTGCGACTACCAGAACTGGACTATTGATGGTGCTACAGACCCAGCTTTGGTCTCAATGTGCAGTGAAAATGATCGTGCGGCGTTCATCCTTGCTGTGTGTAACAACGCTGAAGTTATGCAAGTGTTGGTCAGAAATCCTAATAATGCTTGGGTTTGGGAATTCTGTGCAAACACATCAGACTCATACATAGTGAACCTGTATTGCTCATATAACATATGGACTGCTGAAACCATCGACCCATCAATAGTGACGTTCTGCTGGTATAATGACATGGAGAGATTTCAGTTTTTTTTGTGTGACAGTATGGCCTTCTTTATGGTTGTGTTCTCCAGTGATGAAAACAACTGGCTGAAGCCCAATTGCTCTGAACCTCCTCCACAAATTGACATTAACACCCTTGTGGATGAGTCTTGCAAATACTCTGAATGGAAGAACGTGCGAGCAATCAGCCCTGAACAAATCTCTATATGTATCCAAAATGATGAGGTTCGGTTCATTAATGAGGTGTGTGTTGACCACAAGTTCGTCACTCTACTTGTGCAGAACAGCGCAAATGCTTGGGTAGAGCAATATTGCTACTACTCTATCAGGAATCCGCCTACTAGCCCACCGCTGCTGAGCATTGAAGTTTGGTGTAACTATAGCAAATGGACTAACATGTCTGTGGATCCGTCTGTGGTCGCTCTATGCTGGCAGTACGACCAGATTGGCTTCCGTCAGAACGTCTGCTGCAACATACCCTTGTATGACAAATTGTCCCTTCATGCTGACAACCAGTGGCTGATTAGAGAGTGCTCTAATAATGACACCACAAGTGTGTTGGAGCAGGTTTGCGTCTATTCAGATTGGAGCCAGCCTACTATTGTAGACATGACTGACATTGCTCTCTGTGCAGATCTTGACACTGAGAACTTCACTCGGAATGTATGTGCCAATGTTACAGTTTTCCAGAATTTGCTGGCCAATTTAGACAACACCTGGTTATTGGAGCAATGCTCAAACCTGACTGCTCTTGGCCGACCAGCTGAGCAGTGTCAGTACTCCAGTTGGGCTTTGGTGCTCCCGGACGCTGCTCTCCTCACTCTTTGCTGGGACTATGACCAGGCCAACTTTATCTCCTTCGTCTGTGCTGACTCTTCCATGCTGACCCACATCACTCAGGAGGCCTCCAGCCTCTGGGTTGGCACTCTCTGTGCCACATACACAGCTCCCCAAACCACCACCGTCAGTGGGAGCAATGAAACAACTCCCCAGCCATGTTTAACTATGGAGTTAGCTAAAAGGCTAAACTGGACATGCAGCACAGACTTCAGCGCTGCCTGCCAACCAGGTGCCAGTCAAGTCCAGGGTCTTCGGGTGCTGTTGCGCTGTGGGATAAAGATCCTCCAACCTCGCTTGGAGAATCTCATGACTACACAGGTGGCATCGGTGGTCAAGCAGGCCACCAGCCTGTGGGTTGTCCTGCTGTTGGCTCTAGAAGAAAGCCAAATGACCTCTCTAAGGATGACAGAGAATATTCGGCTTAGTGTGTTGGACTCAGTTGTCGCCTACATGGACAATGAAACCAACTTTGACAACAAGCGTGTGCTTTTGCAGTGCTTTGGGGTTGGTATTATTATTAAATCGCTACAAACCCAAGTAATTAATATTAAGAATAGGGCATATCATTGTTTTCATTAGACCACTGTTTCCCAAAAAAGACACTGTGAACTAGTTCTGGAAGTTCTTCTGGTTTTTCTGATTATTAATTAAGCATATCCTTTACCGTGTTCACCACTATTTTGTAATTGACCCATGATCTAGCTCATCAACATGAGGTATAAGGTGTTAGACCTGACACCGGATAATCTAAATCTCTTCCTTAGCATGTAATATTAACTCTTGAGTCATTTGATTTGTCTCTACATTAGTACTGTGATACAAATTCCTAATGTATGTTGTTGTTGTTCCTACTGCATTTCTGGTTGAAACTTTGCATATGTGTATTTCAGAAAGTTCTGACCAGTCTGATGCAAACAGGAAGAAATGTGCCCACTAACTTTTTCTTGATCAAGGTTGGATTCACAACTTCATTCGCATGTTTTACATTTTTAGCTTTGAGCTGCTAAAAATAACACTTAAAAGTGTTTGAGTCAAATTCATGTTTTGCTTTGTCAATCCACATTATCATTCATACAGAATATCTGCTTTTGTTTGCTGAAATCAGTGAGTAACAGCTTGAATTACACATTATTGCTTTTGCAGGAGTATTTCCGTATTCCTCTATCTCATCTGAGATCAGTGCTCAGTGCAGCAGACAGCATAATCGTGAGGGAGATTCTGCTGTACTATAACAGGAACTATGCCACTTTGCAGGTAGACCATCTCATCATTGTGTCATTATATATTTAAAAATAAACAAAAAAGGAACAAACAATCAGGATAAATGCATTGATGTAATTTACAGTTTTTTCTTTTTCTTTTTTGAAGCTAACAGATGATTACCTGCACACCATGGTGTCTGTGCTCTTCCAAATACACCTGCCCAAGGATATTAGCCTGTTTTCTGACATGGGTCTTTTGTTGGCTCTAGCTACACCTTCAGACATCTTGTCAATGCCGCTACAAAATAATATCAATGCGTGAGTGACACACACATATATACCTGAGCTTAAAAAGAACCATCTATTAATCACACCATTCACTTCTTGTTTATTATTTATATTATTACTGTTATTTCAACTTCATTTTATTCTCGTTTATGATGATTATGGCTGATTTGAATTGCAAACTTCATGAAAAGTGAATCCTAAGTGGGAAAATTTATACTACAATTAATTTATACTACTAAATTATACTACAATTAATTTATAATTAATTAAAAAATGATTTATATTCTGTTGTATTGTTTATTTTTAATATTTTGAATTAGCATTTTTATTTTCAATTTTTGTTAAAGTTTTGTTTTAGCTTGTTTAGTTTTGTCATTTTTAGATATTTCTATTTAGCTTTAATTTATTTGTACTTAAAATTCAACATATTTATATCACTTAGTTTCCTAGGCAACAGTTCTAAATTGGGAAGTTTTTTTTTTTAATCCAATATTTATATTTCAGCTTTATTTCCATTTAAATTTATTTGTAATTCATTTTGTTAACAATAACAACAATAATAAAATATATAAGGTTTTTACACAAAAGTCAAATGATTTAAAACATCTCCACTCCCCTACTTTTTCCCAGGTTAAGCATAATTAACGTCAGCATCAAAAACCTTTCCCTGGAGCAGCAGCAAGCATTTGGTCGATGGTGTAGTCAGTCCATGAGCTTGCCTAACATGACAGCCGGCAATTTATCCGTTATCAGAGACATTGGTAACCTGATCGCCTATCTGCCCTTCCAGAGCTTCCAGTACCTCTCACCTGCTCAGGTAACAGCCCCAACACCTCACAAAGATACCTGAACCCATCTGGCTCCGGTTAACCCTCAGGCAGCTCATCTGGGGGAAATGCCAGTGCTTGCCACAGGTTCATTGTAACAGACATGCCCTTGTAGTCTGTTTTCAATAAATAAACACAGAAACACATGAATTAAGAATGGCTGTGTAGTGGACTGTGGTGCTAACACCATAATGAAAAGTTCTTCACTGCTGTTCATATAAAGAGGACATTTCAGAATTCACAAATTTAATATGAAATATATAGAATGGTTCATATTTCATACACCAGAATAAATTTGTGTATAGGATTTACCTTGAAGCACTCAGAAATAGCTAGTAAATTTCACAAATAAAGCAATAAAATAAGAAATAATTTTGAAGTAGAAAGACTGAAATAGTATTTTCTTGTCAAATGTACTTTTACATAATTTTTGTTTTAATTACAACTTAGAAAATCTGTTTTTACAGTGCAGTCATTCTATTTTAAAATGACCATTTAAGATAAATGAAAAATTACGTGTTGATGTTAAATGATCACTTATGACATACTCTTGTTCTCATGGTCCTGTGTTGTGTTTTCTTAGCTGCTGAATGGTTTGGATGTCCTGATGAGTAATACGTTGAGTCCACTTAAGCAGCAGTTCATTGCTCAGAGTCTTATTGGTACCTTCCGGAATCTCACTGTTGATGAGTTCAGGAGGTTAGCTAAATACAATGTTTTACTCCATTAAGACGAAATCAATACAGTTTCTTGATTTTTTATTTATTTATTTTTTTTGGGACATGTAAAAAGCAAAAAAATAAAATAAATAAATTGTTTCCTCTCACACCCCTCCAGGTTAGGTAATCTGTCCTGTCTGGCTCACCCCAGCCAGCTGATGGCATATGCAGGAACGGAAGCCTTCTCTGTGATCCAGGACAACATTAGGACATGTGCAATTCAGGGTTTTAGTGTTCCTAGCAATATGGTCAGTAAACATGTTTCAGATCAATTGTCTCATTTATCGCTGTCATTTATATTCACCATCTTCTTTAAAAAAACGTAAATAACAGTAGTGGTACATATAAAATAGCCTCTGGTTTGTGGTTTCTTTTCTTTTGTGTCCAGATATCCAGCTTGGTCTTGAAATCGTCTGACCTGCAGTCTCCCTCCAGTCTCACTCCTCAGAGAGTCTCTGAGCTTGGCCCTTTTCTGCCCCTGCTGGGATCCAGTGTCCTGCAGCAGCTGACCTCAGCCCAGCTCTTGCCTGCTCTCAGCACCCTCGCCTCTGTGCCTTTCACCCCTGCACAGGTACACACCATTTTTGCCACATCTGCATACATTTGCCACACAAGGCAAATAATTTAGCAAAATGTACAGGCATAAATATTTATTACCAGTCATGATACAATTTTGCATTATTTGTTTTAAAAATGTATATCTGTTCCTATGACAGTGAGATTTTCCCTAGCATTTTATGACAAAACATCACAGACAGGTCAGTCATAGGCAAGGCAATTTATTTATATAGCACCTTATTTCATACATGGTGGTAATTCAAAGTGTTTTCCAAAAAAAATATATGGGAAAAAACTATAGTTGCAAAAAGAAATATTATTAATAAAATACAATAAAAATAAGAAAAACTAAAATAAAGGTATACATTAAGATGAATATGAGAAACATTTATAGTATCATACACAAAATTGTCAACAACTGTCAACAAAATCTTAATTTTTCTTTTTTATATTTTAATTTTGGTAGAATAGTGTGAGAAATATTCAACATTGTTTCACATTTGATTTGAATCTCGCATGTTACATCAGCAAGGTTCAGACGGTAAGATATCTTACAGTTTGACCTACACCTTGTAATGTTACACTTCTAATAATGCTACCAGCCAGATAGCCTATAGTATGGTTTTATTTGCTTGCCTAAGACCATTTTTACTTGCATTTTGCATTTGGTGGGTTAATTTTGGACACCGAGTAGACCCTAGTGGGTGAGAAATTGAGTAGAGGTCAAAGGTTACAAGCAGGCAGTGTGGGTTTAGTCTTGAGGGCTTTACAACAGATGGAAGACTGCTGTCAGAGGAGCCATGGTATCTGATATAGGTAGAGGATTGTGTCACTGCTCAACCCTTTTAATCATTTCTGCATGACCAAACATGAATTCTGCATATCCATCTCAATGTCCACCCAAAACATAAGGAAGGCAGTGGATGGGGGAGCACAGTGTAAAAACAGAAAGCTTCAGATGTCAGTAGAATGATTTTACTATATGTAGAAAGGGGGAATGTCCTTATAAAAGTCAGATAAAGTGTTTTAATTAAATAAAAAAACCTTCCTAATACCCATATAAATGAACATAAGAGACTTTATCAATCAAAATATTTATTCATCATCTTGTTTCATTGCTTTATGATGTACTGCCTTATTCACTGCCTATTAATCAGTATAATTTTTTTCCATAAAGGCACGTGTTATCATCGACAAGATCTCAGCCAATTTTAGTGTAAGTATATCTTTTCTGTCAGAGTTGAGAAAAGCTGTTCTTTCTTAATTTTTTTCTTTCTTAAATGTTTGAAAAGATGGCCAATGTCTCTTGTGAACCTGTGTGTGCGTGCGTGTGTGTGTGTGTTTGTGTCTGCGTTTGAGATGTCAGCACTTTTGCACAGCCAGCTGGCCCACAACTCAGCGTAATCAACTCTGGGGTATTTCAAGGACAATTGCATTGGCCTTACACACACTCACCCATCAGTTACTCTTTACAAATTTATGTTGCGTGTTTGAAAGTGCATGTAACATTTACTCCTATGATCCATGTGATTTGGCAGTTCCTCAAGGTATAGGATTGCACCAGGCACAAGGAAGTTGTCAAGCGGCCCTTTGTATTTTGTGTCTAAGGTTTAAGGGAACATTGTGATGTAGGTCAGATAGGTTGTCACTAGTGAGCTGGCACTCTTTCACATGCGTGGTGTCAATGAGACACCTAAAGGAAATATCTGTTTTTGCAATATAGTCTACTTATGGCACACGTTAATTATTTAAGTTAAGACTAGTTAAATTCTTTATGTAAGGGGTTTTCAAACATTTTTGATGCAGAGGACCCCCAAATGGTGATATTTCCTTTATGATAGACCCACTTCCTATATTATTAAGGCAGCTACAGTGGGTAGGTCTTATATAGACAGATGTGTGGCTTTCCTAATCAAGTCCAATCAGTATAATCAAACACAGCTGGACTCAAATGAAGGTGTAGAACCATCTCAAGGATGATCAGAAGAAATGGACAGCACCTGAGTTAAATATATGAGTGTCACAGCAAAGGGTCTGAATACTTAGGACCATGTGATATTTCAGTTTTTCTTTTTTAATAAATCTGCAAAAATGTCAACAATTCTGTGTTTTTCTGTCAATATGGGGTGCTGTGTGTACATTAATGAGGAAAAAAATTAACTTAAATGATTTTAGCAAATGGCTGCAATATAACAAAGAGTGAAAAATTTAAGGGGGTCTGAATACTTTCCGTACCCACTGTATGTATATATTCACATTACCGTTCAAATGTTTGGGCTTGCTAATTTTTAATTTTTTTTTTTAGTAAAAATATTTTGACTGTGAAATATTATTACAATTCGAGTATTTTGAATATTTTTTATTTCTATTTGAATATTAAACTGTAATATATTCCTGTGATGGCAAAGCTGAATTTTCAGCAGCCATTAGTCCAGTCTTCAGTGTTACAAGATCGTTCAGAAATCATTTTAATATACTGATTGTATGCTATACATTTCTTTTTAGTATCAATGTTGACACTTGCTAAATTTTATATGCCAAATATTTTTTGTGGAAACTGTAATACATTTTTTTTCTTTGATGAATGTTCAAAAGAACAGCATTTATTTTAAATGTTTTTTAACAATATACTATTCTTTACTTTCACTTGTGATAATGTAAAGGCTTTTTTCAATAAAAGGTTATTAAAGTATAATATTATTATATCATTTTAATAATATTCATACACACACACACACACACATATATGTATATATAAAACTTAAAATATAGATTTAAAAAAACAGTTTGCTATATATATATATATATATATATATGTTTTTTTAAAAAAAAATATTTTTTCTCAAATTTGTGGTCCCAGACCCCAGTTTGTTATGGTAAATTCTCAATGATACTGAATGTTGTTTGAATGATACTGAATATCATCTTTTGGAAATATTATAGGTATTATGTTTGTTTGTGCTCCCTCTCAGTTGGCTCTACCTGGCTCTGAGCATTTGTCTATGCTGGGATCTCTTGTGAGTGGAGTAAAGATGGAGACTCTATGGACTTTACCAACTGATGTTCTGCTAGAAGCGTTACCTGCTATGAGCCTTCAGACACCTGGGCTCACCCCTCCACAGGTCAGCACTATCATCTCCAAACTCTGGGTAAGAAAATCACTTTTCCCTTTAGGCCTCTGAACACAAACATCTCATATTGGAGTATTAGTTAAGGGAAACAGCTGTAAATAAATCCATTACTAAAAGAGCTTCAAGTATTAACACCAGAATGGATATTCATAACCAAATGTAAATCAAATGTGCTCCATTGTTGTATCATTGTTGTGGAATAATTTCTAGTTTTTTTTAATATCGCTTTGAGTTAAATATATATATAAGTTATATATATATATATATATTTGTGAGAGGATATTATATATATATATATATATATATATATATATATATATATATATATATAAAATTTACCATATTAGCACAAATACAGTGAATTTCATCTTCCATGCTTTCAGGGTTCTAGTTCTGTGTCCCAGTGGATGGATAAAGTCAAACCTTTGCTCTCTAGCACTCCACTCCTCAGTGTGATTCCCCAAGTCCCTCTGCTGCTGATCAGAGACACTGCTGTACACACTCGCCTCTGGAACACACAGCAGGTATGTTCTAGTCCAGTAATACACACTTCATTTATCAACCACAATTACAGTAAAATTACAGTGCTTGTCAATTTTAGGTTTAAATGTATTTTTTTTAATTAGTATTTTGTTAACAGCGTCCCTCTGACTGATGGCAGTGATGATGTCATTATAATATTTGCCTACTGAGTTATTAAAGGTTTTTTTTTCTTACATTTATTTGCTTACTGAATTGTGAATTGTGATACATATTTATTTAGACTAAGATTCATAAGATTGGGGTCAATATGATCTTTCAATATTTAAAAAAAAAAAACTATCTCATGAAGGCTGTGAAATACAGTAAAACTAGTTTACAATTTATGTTGCAATGTTTTGTTAAAATTGTTAACTGTTTTCTTTTGATATATATTTTAAGCTATTTGAAAATCTGGAATCTGAGGGTGCATAAAATCAAAATACTGAGAAAATCGCCTTTAAAGTTGTTCAAATGAAGTTCTTAGCAATGCATATTACTAATCAAAAATTATATTTTGATATATTTATGGTAGGAAATTTACAATATATCTTCATGGAACATGATCTTTATTTAATATTTTATTTAAAATTTTGACCCATACAATGTATTGTTGGCTGTTGCTACAAAATTTACCCGTGCGACTTATGACTGGTTTTGTGCTCCATGGTCACATATGCTGATTTGTGTTGAACTAACATTTCTTATTATTATCAATGTTGCTGCTTAATATTTTGTCAAAATTGGGACAGATTATTTCAGGATTCTTTTATGAACAAAGTTCCAAAGAACAGAATTTATTTGAAATAGAAATCTTTTGCAACAATAAAAAAATGTTTTTTGTTTATATCTGTTTTAGAATGGTTTTTTGTATATATCTGTTCTTACAGTGCAAAGACCATGTAGCATTTCATTAGCGCAGAACCAAAACCTAAAACATAACCTTATGTGAAACTTAACACTATTCATATGCTGCCTTTCAAGCATGGGTATTTCTGCAAATCTGGTTAAGATCTGATGGGCAAAATATATTCTTTCTCACATAGTCTGACGAAAGGTGTGTGTTTGAGCAAGAGGTCATAACAAGAGTGTTTTCCATCATGACACTCCCTATTACCACAGAGATCTGTATAATACCACAGTGTCTAATTGCTGGTTTAATTATTGATAATGGAGCACAATAAAGCTTCTTTGATTCTCTAACCTCTGATGTAGTACCCTAGACAGTGTATTTCGTGTTAACTAGGATAAAATAAGATGAAAACCAACCTAAGTTGCTCTGGTACTGTCTTTCCCTTTTTCTGGGACATTAAGCATGAAAGTGTTTTGTAATCCCCCTTTCCTGTTATAGATAAGCTTACAGAGACAAGAAGTCACTGATTTCACTGTTAATGTATGATTAAATATTTAACAAGTTAGAGTAATTGTGCCCCTGACTTATAGGTACATTTCTTAAAGGGATAGGTCACCCAAAATAGATTTTTTTTTGTCATCATTTACTCATCCTCATGTTGTTTCAAACCTGAATGGATTTTATTCTTCTGTTAAACACAAAAGAAGCTATTTTGAAGAATGTTGGTAACCATTTGCTGGTAGCCATTTACTTCCATAGTATTTTTTCTATACTATGAATTGTCCACAGTTAAAAGCTATTCTAAAATCTCAAATCCTTGATCGTTCCAATAGCATCCTTGTATTGTTTTTTCATTCAACAGGCTAAAGTTCTCTTTAAAGAGGCTGTCGTCTCTCACCCAAGCCTCTCACTACAAGAATTTCTGTAAGTTTGGCCTTTAGGGATTTGTGAGTTCATTTTATGATTATAAATAAGGTCTACAAAATGAATCATGACACTGCTCAGTGAAGTACTTAAGTATGATCATGTTTTTCTTTCTCTGACATGACAGATCTCTGGGGACTCTGGCTACGGGAGTGAGTTGCACAGACCTTAGAAGATTGTTCCAGAAACTGGCATCTCTATCTCCTCTACGTGACATTATGACATTTCTGAGAGAGCAGCCTGTGCCACTCCACCCGTCACTGGTATCTAGTAAACCTACATTCAAATCCAGGACCTAAATGTTACAGATTTCCAGTTTAGTTTATTTTCTTCTTTATTCAGTCAAAATCTCACTAAGGTCAATCTTACTCCTAGTTCACTCAATCTATAAAATTGTGTGTAGGCCTACCTGTAAATTGAGTACAGATGTCTTGAATAATGGATCGAGTGTTGCACAAACCACTCTCTTCACAGAAGTTTCTTTTCTTTTCTGTACTACAGAAAAAGTGTGTATTTGAGGAACTGTATAGGTTTGACTTCTTCTCAGAGTTACTTGGAGATTTGGGTTCTCAGATTGCTCTGTCACTTCCGTGAGTCAAAATTAAATTCAATCAAAATACATTTACATGTGTATAAAATTATGTCTTCACTTGTTGAATTTCATGTTGTTGTCTAAAGGCTGAGCACCATTAAGAAATTTCCACCAGATAAGATGCATTCCCTGAAGAAAATTATAATACAGGACCCATATTACTTCCTACTGCTTCCCAGCACCAAACAAGCTGTCCTGGTGGACAAGATGGTTCAAAGACTGGTAAAGAATATCATTTTACTGTCTAGAGGTCATGCACATACTTTTGTTGTGGATCAATCCAGTGAATGATTTTGACAGGGTTAACAACCCTGATTCTATGTAAATTTAGTTTAACCTGCACATTTTAAAAGAGCTTTAATGTCAAATTGACCAGTTGGTTTAGTAACCTCTGTGAATCTCCAACCACTATTTCTTTGATTTTCTCATCAGGATATGTACACTGGCCTGTACACTGAAGAGGAGTTTCGTTCGCTAGGCGTCATGGCTACATTTGTGACAGATGAAATGTTTTTTAAATTGGATAGGAGCTTTTTTGTTGATAGTCTGGAGTTCCTACAAGGATTCTGCTACAATGCCAATAAAAGAGACCAGGTGGCAAAGATGCTAGAGGAACAGTGGACATTTGGGTATGGACAGCTAAAACTTCATTTTCTAGTTCCTATTAAATCACTGGAAAATAAAGCTTGCATCAAACCCAACAAGTTAACTGTTTTCTCCGCATAGCCCTGTAAAAAAATGGACATCAGAGACTCTGAACCAAGTGGACCGCTTCTTGTTTTTTCTTCCGAAGGACACTATTCAGCTCATCCCCTTAGTGAGTGACCAGATATTTCTTTGTGTCTGACACAGCTACGTGTCAACTGAACACACGTATTGTACCTCATGACCAACTGACCAAGTATTTTCGATCACTTTTTTGACCCGTCTACATGTGTGCATGTGTCTTCAGGGTTTGATGAGCTTAGAGCGCATTGAGAGGCTGTTCCTGAGTCAGCAGGAGTGGGAGAGAGGAGAGTTTGGCTCTCTGTGTCAGAAACCCTCAGAGCTGTTTGAAAAGCAGCAGTTTGTGCTTCAATTCTTCCTCGGCTTCCTCAGAATTGGACGTGCCCCTTGTAAGTACAATTCTCTGCCTTGACAGAATGTCATCTGTTTAAATCATTCTGTTCACTTTAAATAGATAACAGATTGTGAAGGAATATAATACAGTAGTATGGCTGTCACTTCACACTTTTGACCACTCAACCCTTTTCATTTCATCTCTCCATCTCTGTGTCTTAGATACTGGACTGATCCCCTCTTGTGAGAGCCTGCATGGGACACAACCTGCTGCCTGGACTATTGACAGCCTTAGAAACATGCCACAAGCTGCATTTCGGAGGTGCTTGGAGCTCATTGGCCAGGATCCGTTTTTCAGGGCATACGAGCTGTTAACGCTCCTTACAAAGACCAAAGAGGTGCCTGAATTGCTCCATTTCTCCAACATAATATGTTGGTGATATTCAGTGAATATCTGCGGCATTATAAATAGTGGTCGATTTTTTTGTCTGTGTGTAGGTGTATGGGATGCCTTCCTCTTTTAACTCTTCTGTGATCTCTCAGTTGGGTCGCATTGCCACTCAACTCACACTTGAAGAATTGGCCTCTCTTAGACTCTCTGAAATTCAGTCAATTTCAGCTATGGGGGCTCTCAACACATGGACCAGCAGACAGGTAAAATGTTGATGAACATAAGTAAAAGTGAGCTGGAATGGCTGGTAAAATTGTGATTTGAAAAACACAGTATACCACTAATGAAAGAAAATGCACTGATTGATTTTGACTTGAGAATACTGTTTTTATTCATTTCTTTATTTATTATACATTTTAATGCACATTAACGTTCAATCATTGGGATTGGTATGATTTTTTTAATGTTTTGAAATAAGTCTCTACTGCTCACCAAGGCTGCATTTATTTGATCAAAATTACAGCAAAAACAACAAAAAATATTTTGATATATGATTACAATTTAAAATAATTGTTTTCTGTATTTTAAAATGTAATATATTCTTGTGATGGCAAAGCTGAAATGTACTGCAGCCATTACTCCAGTCTTCAGTGTCACATGTTCCTTCATTTTAATATGCTGACATTGGTTCTTAAGAAATATTTATTATTATCAATGTAGAAAACTGTTGCTGCTTAATATTTTTTTATGAAAAGAAAATTTAAAAAAAAAACAGCATTTATTTGAAAAAGTTTTTTTTGTAACGATGTCTTACTACATGTTAGTAAAAATCTTACTAATCCCATTTTGAATGGTTGAATGTACATATTGTAAATGACCTCTGTTTGCAATTGCAGCTGAAATTACTATTCTCCACCGTTCTGAACTCAACCAGAAAGACGCCTAGCCAGTTAGACTCCAGCACTTTTGTGGCATTGGGGCACATTGTGTGTGGCATTGATGCACCAATCATGCGCAACCTGAATCCAGTGGAGTTCAGGTTGAATTATCTAAAAAAAAAAAAATCACAATTATCTGAATTATCTAAAGATTTGTTGCATGTATGTTTCCTTCAATTAAATGTACTCTTGTGCTTAATGTAAAATGTGTTGTTGTTTTCATTCCAGTAAAGCAGTTTTGTGGCTTGGCCGTTTGAATTTGTCTTGCTCTGAGGAGCAGCTGCAGGCATTGACAGGGCTGCTCAGTCATAGCTTGGCATTTGGACAGGTCAGCTTCTGGGGATCAGAGGTCTTCATTGAGATCGGAGCGATTGCAGGTACAGCTCAGAACTTGTAATCGGAAAGTTGGTGGATTGATTCCCACAGAAATCCCCATTGGGACCTTGAGCAAGGCACTTAACCCAAAGTTGGAATTGTCCCTGTAATAAATGTACTTTGTGTCACTTTGGATAAAAAGAGTCTATTAACAGATATAGTTTATCATAGAGAATTGTTTATTAGCATTAGTAGCTTAAAGAACTTGATTTGCTAGTTTTGGTTCATAGTTGTGGTAATTGATGTTTTTTAGTCTATACGTGGTGTTTTTGTGCATTTTTCCCCTTTCTGTAGCGGGACTACCTGACATAGCCATGTCTGCTTTGGTGAGGGAACAAATTGAAGGAATCACACCACTTGCCATCTCTCTCATCCCAGCGGGCAAATTTGCAGTTAGTATCTTTTTTTTCTCTAGCCTCTTTAGTGCCTTGAACTAAAATGAATGATGTATGATGAATGTATGTGGCTATTTGATTGTATTCATAACTATTATTGACACGGCAAGGAGGAATATCTTTTCTAATTCCTGTCACCGATTTGACAACAAATGATACAAATCAAACAAACTGTTAATTTCTTTCATTTCTTACCTCAATTTCAAGATCTCAAAACACTCTTTTGATGTCTTCTGTTTTTTTTAATTAAAAGTATTTTGAAGTCATTCTAGGATCTTTATTACCTGGTGTATCTGCTTTCTCTCCTCACAGGTAGTGTTTAACCAGGCACAGATTCGTATGTTCACCTATGATCAGGCCGTTGCTGTGACTGAGGCCCAGCGCTCCGCTCTGTCTACAGTACAGCAGACGGCCCTGTCCATGGTGCTCAACCCCTGGGAGGACAAACCTGTTGATTTCAGAGGTACTTTCACTCCTGCTGTGAAAAACCGAGGGAGAAGGAAAAACTGTTATATTATACATTAATATAAAAAAGTTAAATGTGTGATCAATCTCAAACCTGAATGAATGATTGATATTTGGACATTTTGGGTTGTTAAACGTTCTTTATTCTGTCTCACAGTTATTTTTGTGTATCATTTCAGGCATGTCACTGGGAGTTGCAATGCACCCCAGTCCTTTTTTCTACCTCTCCAGCGTCCTGATAATGCTGCTGTTTTCTCTGGGATGAGTTAGGTCTGTTGCTGCTCAATTGCTGCTATACTGAATCGAACTTTTCTTTCCAAATATGTGCAATGTGATGTAACTGTATTACTTTATTTATAAGACTTATGAGAAATACAAGAACAATAACTATTTCTATAATAACTATAAATATTTCTTTCAGCACTTTATTATAGTTGGTCAGTGAAAATGTGATTTTGTTTGATTGTTTTTGAATATTTGCTTGCTTGGATAATAATGTATCAACCTAGGTATGTAATTGCCTAAAATGATTTGGTTTGACTTGTGCTTTATGTTCAAATTCTTGTCCTGTTTTTATTAGTATCATTTATTTATTTATTAACTGCTATAACAGCCTTCATACATTGAAATTCTGGAAAAATATCAGAAGGGGTTGTATTAACTTAAAGTAAAAACTTGATTGTGAAGTTTCCTTTTTCTTTCATTTGTAAACAACTCACTCATGTTTTTAATTTGGCTACTTATGAAACTGTACCTATTTGTCATAATATTGCGTGCTGCCTGTTGTCAGACTGTATTTTAATTTTGTATTGTTGTGCATAAACCAGTGCATATATCCTTGGAAATAAAGCAGTGGCGTAACTTATGTCTTAAAAAGTGGGTGGGACAGGAGAGAGTCTTTGAGAGTGTTTGTGTATCTATGTATTTATTCACGTCGGTGAAATAAAGTATTACAAGAGACATAAGGGGACTTCTAATTATAAAACTACAACAATTAAGTATAATAATAATTGTACAAATGTACTACTACTAATAATGTACTATTATCATAATTAATACAATTATAATTATGACTCAGTTTATGGCCTGACGCATCAGACTTGCGCAACAGTAATGACTCGTCCTCTTGTGCGCCACACGGGGGCGTTGTAGCCAGCGGCACGCGGTCTCCAGTCCTCCGGTATCCCGTCAGCATGAAGACAGAAGAGCGTTGATCAGAGCAGCACATGCTTTCTCTCGGCTACTACTTTAACTAACTCACACTTAGCCAAGATGGCGGATTCCGACGACTGGGGTAAGGATTACTTCCATATTTAGAGCTAAGTGTATGACAGGGTGTCGGTCACTGTCTTAACCACGACATTATTTTGTTTTTCCAAAGACGTTGAGAACTTCGAGCCGAGTGAGCCGATCAGAAGTGGCGCCGGGCAGCTGGATAGATGGGAAGGCGAGGACGAGGAGGAAGACGTCAAGGTAGCGTGCTAATGGCCATGCAGTCAAAACTTTCTCACTAAAGAGCGTTTTAGTCCTTGCAGTTCTGCCTTATCGTATGATATGTGGCTAAAGGTAGCAACACTAATATGGACAATCATGGTGTTTTGTATTTTTAGCCGTGTAGCTAGTCTAGAATAGGCCCGTTTTATTTAGTTCCACCAGAAGTATCCAGTTGCGTGTTCATGATTGTCTAGTACTACTGTTACACTGACAGTTTCTGTGTTAACGTCAGCAAACGTGTCATCTGCCAGCTTGACGGGTCTGTTTCTCTTTGAGCAATAATAAGTTGCCAGCCAATTACAGATTAATCAAACTAATATAGGAGTTTTGGCAGCACATCGGCCTCATCATGCGAGTGTCCATGGTTGAAATGTATTGACTGAATCCAGTTCCGACAGCGACCAAGTGACAGGACACGTGGAGCTTCATTAGCAGCTTTTTCACTTGTTTTACTGGTTCGTTGTACGAGCTCAATTCAAAAAATATGTTGCTCGTCTTAGTTATTACAATTGTTGTAGCTACTTTAGCTTGTAATGTATTATTTAGCGCAGAGAACGTGGATGAAGTTCTAGAATTCTCTTTCGAACTGAGAGAATGTGAGCGCGCGCGTAATTATTGCCATTTACTGCAAGTTGTTTTGTTTGAAAGGCAGCTCTGGAAAAGAGTCCCCGAATTAACCTGCTAACCGAGGCCTCAAGAGTTCAAATAAACCTTTCTGGAATGACAGTATTGTGCAGGGTGCCCACGGCCATAGAAAACCTAGAAATGTCAGGAAACTTCAAAATTATGATTTTTGCGCCTTAAAATCTTTTAAAAAGGCATGGAGGAAATTTCTGTAGTGCACTTGCTTCTACTTACTCAGCTCAAATATAAAAGTTAGCTATCATCGGTTTTGTTTTAAATGGCTTCATTACTATTTCTGCAGGTTCAGTATTCATTGTTTATTAAAGGAATTTCTGCTTTTGTGAATTTGTAAAAACTGTTGTTTTATCATCTTTGGGCCTGTGTAATTATAATGGCCAAACTAATCAAAAACACTTGTTCTGTTAATAATTTAATGATAAGGAAATAAGTAAGGAATAATGAAGTATTGAATCATTACATTATTCTGCTTATTACACGGCTGAAAGTAAATAGGGCATGTAAACATTCAAATTGAGTTCAATTTATTTTGTTAGTTTACATATGGTTACCATACATTTTGCTTTCTGCAGGATAACTGGGATGATGAGGAGGAGGAGAAGAAGGAAGAAGAGAAGAAAGTTGAACAGAAAAAAGCAGGTACTGATCTCTGTTGAGTGGTCAGATTTTACAATGTAAACATGTTGTAGGCAGAGCCATTGCATATTTGTAAAACTCGCCATTAAGTAGATCTTTTGGGTGTGTGTTGTTTTATTACTGTTTTTCTTTAACCCAAGTGGAAAGTACTCTTATGGTTTGATTTACATTTCCTGTAGAGTTGAAACCCCCTGAGAAGAAAAAATTAAGTGATAAAATAAAAGAGAAAGAAAGTTTTCAAAAGAACAAACAAGATGAGTTGAAAAATAAGGTAAGAAAAAATATTATTACTTGTATAATTACTCATTAATGCATTAGCCCCTTTCTTTCCTGATACTCATTTCTTTTGCGTATCCTAAACCGTTTAACCTTAGTTTTTGAAACCTGTGAACAGATGGAAGAAACGGTGAGTGAGACTCTATCAACAGAGGAGCAGCATGCAGAGAAGCTTCGACTGAAGATACTGCAGGAGGAGGCAGACATGGAATTGGCCCGTGAGGCGTTTGGTAAAAAAACAAGTTGTGTGCACTGCACTATATGTGAAGCTTTCCAAGTGCATATTTTAACAGTTAATCACTGAACAATCATTCTGATTTCAGGTGTCGATCCTGCTGCTGCAAATGCCTCTACTACTGTTATAACAACAAACAATGCCTCTGGAATTGAAGCCATGTGCCCTTCATCCAAAGATGACTTTGTTGCATTTGAAAATTTACTGAAAGATAAGATAGCACAGTTTGAGAAATCAGTGCATTATTCCAGCTTTTTGGAGTCACTGTTTCGAGAGCTTTGTATTTCATGTAAGTGCGGAAATATTTTTTTGTTAGTAGTTTGTGTATATTTTAATAATGGTTGTTTGTGATTGAGAATTACTGATATTTCCACAGCCTTTTACATTATATAGTGGACCTCTCAAACATAAAACCTTGCACATGTCTGATGACTAATGTCCCCCCCCCCCCCCCCCCCCCCTCTGTGTAGTGGAAGTAGATGACCTGAAAAAAATCAATAATTCTTTGTCTGTTCTGCTCAGTGAAAAACAAAGGCAAGAAAAGGTGAGTTGAATGATTTTGCTTCTTTGTACTCCGTTTTAGAGAAGCTTCTCAAAACCTCATTTGAGTGGAAAAGAACTTGATTCTCGCCTAGATTGAGAATCTTATTTACAGCCACTAAGACTACTTGTTATTTATAATTCTGTATTGTTCATTATAATCAAAATATCAACAGCAAAATACTCTATATTAATTTGTTGCTGTTATTCACAGGAAAAGAAGGCAAATAAGAAGAAGAAGAAAGGTGTAGTCCCCGGTGGTGGATTGAAAGCAACCATGAAAGATGACTTTGCTGATTATGCTGGTTTTGACGATGGCTATGGCAATGATTTTGATGACTTCATGTGACGAAGGTTCATCATCCCCCTTCCCATTCCCTCTGTGCCCAGATGCCCTTGCAGACATGCAACATTACTCTTTCATGCTTCTCAGTGCCATCTTGGACACTGAACAATTGTCAACCCTTTACTTGGTTCCAGTGGTGACGGACTCCTCATAAAGCTGCTATAAAGCTGCCATTTGCACCCCAGCGGCAAATGGGGGAATAGTACATTTATTCAGACGGCCTTGAAATCTCATTTTTATTTAAAAAAAACAGACTGTATGATGTGGGACATTTTTGATGGAGGCGTTTCCTCTGATTGGTTTAAATAAGCATTTCAATGCCTTATAGAGAACTTTGTATACAATATCTCTTGTTTTCATTGAAAGTGACATGTTTTTAAAGCTGTGCCATTTCAGTTACACAAGTAAATGTGATGCTCTATGCAAATTAATTTCTTCCAAAAATGTCCTTATCGAAAGTATGGTTATATTTTTCTTGCATATTTATCCACAATTGGAAACCATATCAGTTTTCCAAATGTGAACCAGTCAACATTTGAAAATCGGACGTTTGTCAGTTGTCAACACTACATAATGAACACTGACTAAATGAAAGGATGAAAATGGAAGTAAAACAAAACATCATCTTGAATCTGTTGACATTAACTTTATGTGAAATCAGAATGGACTGTCGCGGAGTTGTTTCTCTGCCAAAGTATATTTTAAATGAACTTATTGCTGCACATTTGATCAATTAATGATATTTAATGTTGCTGCTCATATGACAGTATATGATCACTGTTAATCATTACTAACTGAATCAGCAGGTTCATGGGTCTTGTGTTTTTGTTTGACTTGTCATTATACAGTAAGCTTCTACAGGCATGTATAAAGTAAAATGAAATGCAAACTTGGCAGCAAAAATATTTATAAAAAAACAGCTCAGAGGATTTTCTCACAAATTGCTAAAATTGGACAAAACAATATAAAGACAAAGGCATGTTTTTTTTTTTAAAGTCTAATTTAATAAAATCATTGGACTAAATTATCGCTTGGTATTTTTGTAAAGGGTTTGGACAACTTCAGAGTTTTTCTAATTGAGTCATAAATGGCATGTTTGTTTGGGTGGAAATGTGCTGTTCTAGTGCAAGGGTTCTGAACTCTGGCACTCGAGGTCCACTTTCCTGCAGAGTTTAGCTCCAACCCTAATCAAACTCACATGAACAAGCTCATCAAGGTCTTTAGGATCACTAGAAAGCCACAGGCAGGTGTGTTTGATTAGGATTGGAGCTAACCTCTGCAGGACACTGGACCTCGAGGGCCAGAGTTCAGAACCCCTGTTCTACTGCTTTGTTTTTGATACTCTGAAATATGCAATAAATATTCAAATATTTACTTTAGTTTCAAGTAGTAAAATATTTACCACAGTACAAGCCAATAGAAAACATAAGTGAAAAATTACATGAAGCATGCATTCCTCTTGGGTTGCTGTTTTAAAAAATATGGTAATTTTAGTTAGGTTTTGGTAGGCTTTTCTTCGCTCTAATATTAATTTGATTTGCAATTCATGAAATCTAATATTTTATGCAAGTTGATGTTATCAGCAATACTAAATTGCTGTGGGACTTTACCCCAACCATGTTCAAATACAACTGAAATGCTGTCAAGTTTTAAAATGGCTTAAATCCAGTAACTCTGCATGAAACAAACTCACATAAGAGCAGCCCCCATAGGGTATGGGTCTGTCTTGTCTCATGTAGTTTGTAAGTTCTTGGAATATCAACCAATGGTCTGGGCATGTGTGTAGGAATTACGAGTACTCCTCCTACTGCTGCGAGGTGCTGTTGAGCCACCTCTCTGCCTCCGGTTTCGTCTTCCCGGCCTTGCACTTCCAGCTGTGGCCTGACCCAGTGAGTTCTGTATCTGCTGGAACATACTCTGCCTAGTGACCTCTTTATCACCACAGGCGAATGTTAATGCCACTCCTTCATTGCTCTTCATGACTCGAGAAGTGCCATCTGATGTACCATCAAAGCAACGGCGAGGGTATGGGTCTGTCTTGTCTCATGTAGTTTGTAAGTTCTTGGAATATCAACCAATGGTCTGGGCATGTGTGTAGGAATTACGAGTACTCCTCCTCCTACTGCTGCGAGGTGCTGTTGAGCCACCTCTCTGCCTCCGGTTTCGTCTTCCCGGCCTTGCACTTCCAGCTGTGGCCTGACCCAGTGAGTTCTGTATCTGCTGGAACATACTCTGCCTAGTGACCTCTTTATCACCACAGGCGAATGTTAATGCCACTCCTTCATTGCTCTTCATGACTCGAGAAGTGCCATCTGATGTACCATCAAAGCAACGGCCAAGTGCAATTTCTTTGGCTGTCCGAGGATCTTGGTCAGTCACTGTATATATACCATAGTTGTGGCCCAGTGGGTCTAGAGGTGCAAGCATGGTGAACTCATTGGTGTCATTGTTGACAGCCAGTGGAAGATGGTTCACCAAGTATTCCTGTAGCATGCTGTTTACACTGTCTCGCTTGCAGCTGCCCTGAGGCATTACTTTCACAAGAGTCCGATCCACTCGGTCTTGATCATACAGCATCCCACTGCACTTAAACTCCAGACACACTGCTGAAACAGTTGATTGGTCCATGTCTCGGATGCTTCTGGTGTCACGAATGCCATACAGTTGGCCAACGGTTTTTGGATGGGTACCTCCCATATTGCGAGACCGAACGTTGAGCTCATGGGCACTGTTGAGTTTTACTTTAATGTAGCAGGCCCTGTATTCCATGGGTTTTGGCCACCAACTCAAGTAGTCTTCAGTCCAGCTCATGGGATCATCCTCATTAAAAGGCACTGTGTTGTAATCATATCGATCTCCTTCAACTCTTGAGAAACGGAAGTGAGCTGCACTGAATGGAGCCTCCTCACACTCTTTAAGTTTGTCAAATGGATAAACTGGACCATTGACCTCCTCAGCTGTGTTCGAACGGGGTTTGGCCACATTGATGCTGAACGCTGTCTTTTTTATTCTGGGCTCATCATGGTCAGTGCGTCTGTAGTTAAGTTTATTCAAATAGGGTTGCGGGACGCCAATGGTGTTAGGATTCAACTTTGGAGAGGATGCTACTGCCTCTAGCTCTTCTCCCCCAAGGTTGGCCATAACGTAGGCCGAATATGCATCTGATTTCTGTTCATCACAGAAAGCTGGAAGACATGCACCATTTGGGCCAGTGATGACACTATCAAATCTACCCCAAGCCCGAGGGTTGGTTGAATACCCTGGCGTGGGCTCCATATTTATTAAAGTCATCACGACTCCTTCGGTTTGCTCACTAGGCATGTACCGTTCACTACGGAAAGCCCGCACTTTCACATAACATCTCCTATTCTCAGGTACATCCAAGTTAAACAGCCGTCTCTCACGGATTTCCATGTTACCTATGAGGAAGGTTCTCTCCTCTCTTTTCCCCCGTTGCTTTTTCTCAGCATGGAACTGGCCCTCCTCCTCCCACAAACCTGTATCAGGATTAAGGGACCATAATTTCATTGTCTTCAAGTGCTCAGGCATCTTCACTTGTGCTGCATCGAGACGCACTTTCACCTCTCCGGCATTGAGCGACTCGCCTCCTTCTTCATCCCTGAAGTCCACAGAGAACATGCCATAGGTCCTCAAAGGCAAAGTGTCACCTTCTTCACCAATGAAGTTAAGATCACTTTGGGCAGCCACTGCTGTTGATACATCCCTGGGGTCAAGGAAAGTCACGCTGGCCTTGACATTTCCCATGAACACCTCTCCATTTTCTTTATAGAATGCATTTGGTGGGATCTCAATCTCAGCAATGGGATCCTGGCCTTCTACCTCACCAAGATCTAGCTTATTAGTCTCTCTTGAGCTAATAATCACAGCTGGCTTTTTCCTCAACAGTTTGATCTCGTGGAACACAGCTCCACCTCTAGGATTGAATGGTAGCACTTTTGTGGTATTCACAAACTTCTCCATGTTGTCCACAAAGGTGAGAACCAGACGTTCTGTGTTTGTTGGTACCTGGATAGAGAATATGCCTTTGTATCCAGTTCGACTTATTCTTGTGCCATCCATGTAGATGTGTCCAAACCTCATGGGCTCACCAGTGTCTGCTGCGATAGCATGTCCACGAACGATAGCCTTTGTGTCCACACATGTTTTACAGCCACACTGAGTCACTATCATGATGGGCAACTGATATCCCTGACATGTAATCTCTTTCTCCTCCATGTTTAAAATTCCACAGCAGTAGGAAACTGAGTCTTTGCATCTGATGCCGTTATCCAGCTTCCCTGTACACATAGAGGTCGGGCATCTCCCAACATCGTAGTAGAAAGAGTTAGTCTCGTTTTGAAAGCAGTCATGTGGTAGTCGGATCAGATGGGAATCAGGCTTAGGGTTGCATGATGGTGCTTTTAGACCTTAACATAGAAATGGATAGAAAACAGATAAATACCAAACTGAGACCAGACTATTTGTAAAGTATTTTGATACATTTAAGGTTAAAATGAAGTATGTGGGTTAAAATAGGATGGCAGGGCACACCAATAACTGTCAGGGTGGCTGGCTTAGATTTGATGACTCCGTTCTCATTACTGGCTCTGCAGTAGTATTGTCCAATATGGTCCAAACTGAGATTCCTCAAAACCAGTGTCTCGTCATACTGATATTGACTCCTGTCCAGCAGAGTACCATTGTGGAACCTAAAGAGTGATAACAGCGATTATCATTGTTCTCACATTTAGGATAATTATCATGCTGTGGGGATGAAGAAATAACTTCATGATAACCTGGTTTGTCTGAACTGTCCTCATTTAACCCTATATTTATTTATTCATTTATTTATTGAAGGAACATAAAACATGAGGGCTTTGACTTTCGTCTGTTTGTCATTCTCTATTTTCTCATTTAATACCATCAGATAAGGAAACATGGTTTACTTGTAATCTGTTGAAATTTCAAAGTGAAAGTGATCAATTTATATTTAAAAGCTTAAGCTTACCATTCATACTGGTTTGGTTCAGGTGTGCCATCAACCTTACAACAGAAGGCAGCTGTCTGACCTTCCCTTCTGGCCTTGTTCTCAGGGTTTTTCAACACATACAGTTTTTCTGAGGAACACATCGATGTTGCATTAGAATCATTGATTTTGTACATTTTTATGCTTTCAAACTTAAATGTTTGGTTTCCTGTGACATATTCCGCATTGTATTCCACTGCTAATTTTTTACCAAGA